AAACATCCTAATACAAATAAAAGTTTTGTGGTACAAGCTGATGCAAGTAATGTGGCTGTGGGAGCTGTCCTATTGCAGTATAACCTAGATGGATGATTTCAGTCATGTGCATATACATCACGAAAATTTACAACCACAGAGCGACGGTGGGCTATTTGGGAAAAAGAGGCTTTCGCTGTAAAATGGGCACTTAGTACATGGTGACACTTATTAGAAGGATTAAAAGAAAAATTTGAAGTATGGACAGATCATAAAAATTTGGAAGCACTACAAAAACTGAGAAAACTGTCCCCTAAACAAGCGAGGTGGGCCTTGTATTTTAAACGTTTTGATTTCTACTTGAGATATGTTCTGGGAGGTAAAAACTTCATGGCGGATGCACTATCTCGACTACCTCAATACAATGCATGTAGAGACGAAGTTATTCAACCTATGATCTCTGTGGAATTACAAGAGGCTACAAAAATGGATGTATGGATAAAAACCAATAGCACTGACCGCTTATATAAAGATGGGTTGTATTGGAGAGGGGATAAAATATATGTTCCATTGAGCTATAGAAAAAAGATTATCCCAGTGTCATGATGTTAGGCAGGCTGGACACTTTGGATTTTTGAAAACACTACATTTGGTAAGGCGGCAGTTCTGGTGGCCACATATGAGATTAGAAATTGAACAATACATTAAAGAATGCCATGTTTGTGCTACTGCGAAACCACGGGTAGGAAAACCTTTAGGGCTATTACAAACTATCAGATCCCAACTGGCCATGGCAAGACATAGCCATGGATTTTATTGTAGAATTGCCCAGCAGTAATGGATACATGGTAATCTGGGCTATCATAAACTTATTTTCAAAACAAGCTCACTTCATACCATGTAAAGGATTACCTTTGGCAACAAAGTTAGCAAACGTATTTATTAAACATGTATATCGACTGCATGGCACATCCAGGAGAATAATTTCAGATAGGGGTGTGCAATTCACGGCACGATTTTGGACAGCGTTTGTACGTCTTTTAGGATCCTCTCAAGGTCTTAGCTTTGCATACCATCCTAGCACTAATGATGCTGCTGAAAGACTAATGCGATGATTGAGAGATATTTGAGATCATACATCTCTTATCAACAGCGAGAATGGGCTGATTTACTTCCATTTGCTGAAGTAGCATATAACAATGCCACGCATGAAATCACAGGCTATAGCCCATTCCAAATAGTAAATGGGATAGAATTTGTTCCAACCCCTGATTTACAGTGTGATGATCAACATCCTATAAGTGTCAAAATGTGGTCGAAAAAAGTACAGGATAGTTGGGATAAAGTAAAAGAGACTCTCAATAAAACAGCACTAGAATACAAACAACAAGAAAAGAAAAGAGCATAAAACATTCCTACCAGGATATTATATTTATTTATCAACTAAATTTATAAAACTACACTTAAATAGTAGGAAATTAGGACCAAAATATATTGGACCTTTCCAAATTACAAAAGTGATAAACCCAGTAACTGTAAAACTTAAACTACTGCCATGATTACACCGAATACATCCTATGTTTCATGCTAGTTTATTGAAGCCTGTAGAACGCATTAATTTACCTCAACTTGAAGAATCTGTAATAGCTAGAAATTCTACACATGCTGAAATTGACAAAATCCTAGATTCCTGGATACGTAGAAAAGTGTTGCAATATTTAGTGAGATGGAAGGGGTACCCTGAAACAGAGGCAATCTGGGTGAAAGTATCAGATATATGTGCAAACAGACTGATAAGGTAATTTTATGTAAAATATCCAGAAAAACCTGGACCACAAGTAGAAAAATAAGTTGTGATATATATTATTTTATAGACTGGTTCCTGGTAGAGGGGGATGCCTGTCACAACTACGCAATATACACGTTTGAAACGAAGCCCAGTTGACCCGAAGAATGGTGATTCCCTCCATCAGCAAAGACTTTGTATAATAAACACGTGCGGTGTGTTGGAAACGCTGTTTGGTTCAAATATGCGAATTAACCATGATAGATGTGATTGCATTACGATGAGTAATCATGAGTAGTAAGGGTAATCATCGGTAATAAGGGTAATCAGGGATAATAGGGGATAATAAGGGGAATTCATTATAAATACCAGATTCCGTGAAACTTGGGTTAGAGCCTACTTTATTTGCTTAACTATTTTCTTGGAGCCCTTGCGGAGGAAGGAATAAAAAAAAGAGCTTTTTGTTTTACCAAATATTGAAGTGATGTTTGGTTTATTTTCTCTAGGCATTTGGCCCAAAGAGTGGTTGATACCCTCATCAATAGGCTCTTTAAGCTCCCCTTCACTTTCTGTCATTATGGTGCTATCTTCTGAGGTTATTGATGATTCTCCTGGCAATCTTAATTCCAGTTTGTGATTTATCTAGTTCAGCATTTTGTATGATGTACTCAGCCTAAAAGTTAAATAAGCAGGACAACAATATACAGCCTTGTTGTGCTCCTAACCCTATTTTGAACCAATATGTTGTTCAATGTTCAGTTCTAATTGTTGCTCCTTGGTGTGCATGCAGTTTCTCGGAAGACAGGTAAAGTAGTCTGGAACTCCCATCTCTTTAAGAACTTGCCAGTTTGTTGTAATCTACACAATCAAAGTCTTTAGGATAGTCAATGAAGCAGAAGTAGATGTTTTCTAGAGTTCCCTTGCTTTCTCCATAATCCCACGAATGTTGGCAATTTAATCTCTAGTTCCTCTGCCTCTTTAAAACCCAGCATGTAGTTCTTGGTTTACATATTGCTAAAGCCTAGCTTGTAGGATTTTGAGAATAACCTTGCTAGGATGTGAAATTAATTCAATTGTACGGTAATTTGAACATTCTTTGGCATTGCCCTTCTTTGGGATTGGAACATAAACTGACATTTTCCAGTTCTTTGACCATTATTGAGTTGTCCAAATTTGCTGACATTTTGAGTGCAGCACTTTAATAGCATCATCTTTTAGCATTTTAAATAGGTCAGTTGGAATATGGTCACCTCCGATTGCTTTGTTGTTGGTAATGCTTCCTAAGGCCTACTTGACTTCACACTTCCAGGATGTCTGGCTTGAACTCAGCAATCTCACCATTGTAGTTATTAGGGACATTAAGACTTTTTTGGTATAGTTCTTCTGTGTATGCTTGCCGTATCATCTTAATCTCTTCTGCTCCTATTAAGTCTGTTGGAAGGAAAATTCATCTGGTTCAGTTCCAACCTGGGAGAAAGACACAACATGGAGGCTGACTGGAAAGAAAGTTTATTGATGAAGCAGGACCACCAACCAGATGTGATTCTGGGACAGCTGACCAAATGGCTGAATGAGTGGAGGAATCTTTATAGTTTCTGTAACTTCGAAGTTTGGGATTTGTGCAATATGGGCTTTGTGTTTCAAAAAGGCAATTCCTATTGTGGCTAATGACTTTTGTCCAGTGTTGGATCTTGGATGAGGGGCTGCTTGTCCTTATCCTTATCCTACAATTCTGTTTTTGTTAGCTGTCAAACTTTGCTGCAAGGAAATATCCTGTCTTGAATGGATTTCTGCCTGTAGTATTTGCTTTGCTTATGAATGGAGCCATGTGGCTTCCTCTTTCAATAAATCTCCTTAAGTGGCATCTGCTGTGGACTTTTAAGAAAGACTGGGGGGCTGCTTTCTGCCTCTAAATCTGAAACATATTTCTCCATTTTTTCTTTAGGGAAATACAATATAAAAATATTTCCCAAATTACTTGATTATTCTGGGGAGGGGGATGCTTCCCACAAGTCTCTACAATTTTTGTCCATGCACAACTTTGCACAAAGCATTCCTTTGATATCTCCAGTTTTCTCTAATCTTTGCCATTCTGTTGTTTTCCATTTCTTTGCTTTGTTCATTTATGAAGTCCTTCTTATCTTTCCTTGCTATTCTCTGGAAATCAGACTTTGAGCATGGATAAATGAAATATACAGGAAAAAATGGATTTGAAATGAAGAAGGAAAGAGACCTATTGATTGCAATGTCTGGGGTTGATTACAGTTTATATTTCAGCACTTCTGAAAGGCATCAAAGTTGGTGAAGAGTGGCAAAATTGCTTTTTGTAGAGGCAAAGAAAGCAGCAGGACAGAAGGAAAAGTTTGTAATGGACACGAATAAGTAAACATTTTGGCAACAGAAGTAATTCTCATCTTTAGTATTATGATTCTACTAGAATGTACAGAATAATTATAGATATGGGAACTCAAGCTTTTCAATTTTCAGGTAATTTGTCAAAATACGCTGGAGACTAAAATTGATTAGAGTTCTGGTTATATCTTGGTAGCTTTAAAGTTATACAATGACTTGTATAACTCTTCAAGTGTAGGTTCCTCGGTTACAGTATTTATCAATCATGGGGTGGGGAAAGTAATAATCCTGTGCTCAAATTGCACAAATGATGCTTCTGTACTTGCTTTTTTGCAGGCAATTTTGAGAAAAAAACCCTTCTATTGTAAACTTTAAATAAAGTAATCATAACTTTGCCCTTCACTCAAATTCTTGTTAGTATATTTCAAAGGAGAAAAATAGAAGACACAATCTATCAAGATTATCCCTCCCCCAAGACCAGCGCAAAGATAGTAGAAATTTTCCAGAGATTTGGATAAACATGTTAGGAATGGGAACCTTTTGTTATATTGGAACAGATGACATCCTATGATCAAATAGAAAAATTATACAAACTTTTGCAGTGATAGTTCAAATCCTGATTTTCTATTACAGTACCTCACTATCACCATCCTTTTTCATACTCTCTCATCCCACGTGTCCTGCTTGGGTATATTTTCTGCATTCCTGTGCTTCTGTGTAGAGAATTTCTACAAATTAAGCTGAGAATTGTTATGCCATTATTGAACCCTGACAAAGAATTTGCTCAGTGATATTTATCTTATTGGAATAATGGCAATATAATACCCAGTTTACATATTCTTGAGTTATATAAATTGTCTAACTCAACAATCTCATTTTTTAGGGACACCACATAAATATGACCCAACTTTCAAAGGCCCCATTTATGACAGGTAAGACGACCTTGTTGATAAAAGGATTGAGAGTAGTATGGCTTTGTTATTTTTATGTTTTTATTGTTGTTTTTCAGTACACTATATGTAGAGTGACCATTTATTGCCACCTGTTGATTCTCTTTGGGAAGTAATGAAAAGATGACTTGAAAATCCAAGAGCTTAGAGGTCTTGATCATTTCTTTGGAATGCATGGGTTGGGGTTAATAGCTAAAATTCTTTTTTTTTCCTAGTTTCACTCCTTGCTTTATGCGTGGACATAGTTTGTTTTCCAAATATAGTATTATTTAATTATAATGCAATGATAATATAATTTTACTGACATTACTCACACATGATTAGAGCAGGGGTGGGATTTTATGGTTCGGACTGGTTCTATAGAACCAGTTGTTATGATTCTGCTCAGTTCGGAGAACCGGCAAATCGTGCCCCTGGCTGCCCCCCCCCCGTCCTCCTGCCACTCAGTTATTATTGCGCATGCGCAACATCGCGTGCATGCCCAACATCGCTGACTGCATTCTCCCTGCCCAGTCACTCCTTAAGGTATTTCTTTTTTTCCCTGCTCCTAATGATCAGCTTTTCCAATGGTCAGCTGTGCCGGGATCCCCCTTGGTGTCTTACTGCTTCACCCAGGAGGCTTCCCTGAGGCCAGGAGGCAACAAGGGGCATGTGGGGGGGAGCTGCCCCCCTGTGCTCCATTTTTTGCTTTCCTGGGCCCCAGGAAATCCTTCTGGGAGCAAAAACGCCCCCCCCCCCACCGAAGGCTTCCCTGAGGCCTAGGGGCCCCAAAAACAGAGCATGGGGTGCTGTTTCCCCGCCCCCCCCCGCACTCTGTTTTTTGCCTTCCTGGGTCCCAGGGAAGCCTTTTGAGAGCAAAACTGACCCCCCCCCGAAGGCTTCCCTGATGCCCAGGTGGCAGAAAAAGAAGCCATGCCCACCCAGTCACATGGCCACACCCACCTAGCAATGCCCACAGAACTGGTTGTTAAAAAATTTGAATCCCATCCCTGGATCAGAGGTTCACATTTCAATTTGTATCTTATAACAATTCATAAATAATTTTATCAGCCAATATTTTATTTTTATGGGGACACATTAGCTTCAGAGAATCAGACAAAATTGTTTTGTGGGTTCTTAACCAATTATTATCATGCTAACTCATGACTGGATATTGAGTGGAGATTGCTCTTATTCTCTGATAATATGTATTTATCTGTTAGTTTAAATGTTAAATGTTGCCAGCATAATTGAGATTTATGGTAGTTTACAAACAAAAATTAAAATAACCATCCAACACCTCTCTGAGTGATTGTTGTTTTTTTCTGACTGAAATTCAAACATCCCTAACTTCAGGCAAAGCACTATTTTTATACTAGAATACCTTAGATTAGCTTTTCTTTAGCCTGCCCTAGCAGTGGGAGGCCTACAGGTTGGAAGCTTTGTTTTAAAGATATCTCATGAAATGGTAAGTTGTGTGTCATAGTAAGCAGAGTGGGTGGATGAATCCTTTATATTTCATACTGAAATAGTTCTTTTTAAATGAAGGAATCACAAGATAGTTTTCATAAAGATATATATCATGATAGCAGTCTTCCAATATTTGAGGGGCTGTCACAAAAAGGAGGGGATCAGCCAATTTTCCAAAGCACCTGAAGGCAGGATAAGGAGCAACAGATGGAAGACTATTAAAGAGAGATCTACCTAGAATTAATGAGAAATTTCCTGACAATGAGAGCAGTTAATCAGTAGAATGGCTTGCCTCCAGAAATTGTGAGTACTCCATCTACAGGAGGTTTTTAGGAAGAGATTGGACATCCATTTGTCTGGAATGGTATGGGGTCTTGTGCTTGAGTAGAGGATTGGACTAGAAGGTCTCCTCCCATTCTGTTATTCTGTAATTCTGTAAGCCCAATAAGGTTATTTGATCTTAGATCTGGATTGCTTTGTTTCCTATTAACATCTTTGTGTGTAGGATTAGCAGGCTTGGGTTTAACGTACCATCTTCTCTGAATCATTGTAGTAGTGATCAGCATCATAGTGTGCCTATACACATCTCTAAAAACTAGAGGTAGTATACTATTTATGAGAAGTTAATGTCCACTCCCCACCTTCACTACAGGCCAAGGAGGAATGTGTTGGTTATATTTGCTTGTCCCTTATTCTTGAGATGGGCTATAGTTTATTTGTCATTTGATTGGAGGATTTTCAAGATTTTTTTTATTGCAAGTCTGAATTTGAATGATGACATGTTGATTCAAACTATCAACTAATCACTACTGTGTGCCAGAGACAAGTATATTGTTACTTATTCTCACTTACCTTATTTCTTCTTCCAGGGGCTGCACAGATATCATCTGCTGTATCCTGCTGCTGGTTGCAATTGGGGGCTATGTTGCAGTGGGTATTGTGGGTACGTATTCTACTATTTATTGCTGCACCAAGGATTTGACCCTTTTGTAGCAAATTTTATACTTGATCTTTGAGAGGAATGTTGAGGGCTACATTCTAAACGATTGGCTGATGTTGGGACACAGATACATTTGATTTCATTCCAACAATATTTAAATGAATGAAGACAGGAGTCCACGGCCAGACCACACAGCTGGAAATGAGCAGTGGGTGAGCAAGCAAAGTTTCTCCAGCTATCACCACCTCAGCTTCACCTCAGGATCATCAGGCATTAGATTCTCATAGGAATGTGAACCATACTCTAAACTATGCATACAAGGGATCTAGGTTGCATGCTCTCCCCCTCCCCATATACATGGGAAAATTGTCTTCCACAAAAGCGGTCCCTGGTACCAAAATAAAATATAGACATGAATAAAAGGTTATGTTAAAAGCTTATAGTAATTGCTTAGAAGCTCTATGGTGCTTTAAGATCTGGAGAAAAGTTACAGATAATCCCCAGGTTATGAGCATTCCCTTAGTGAACATTCAAAGTTACACAATAAGCGCCCCCTAGTCTTTATGAACAAGTCCCAAAACTATGAATCTTGTAGCATCATGGCAGTTATTTGCAATTACAAACAACTGCAGTGGCTCTGCAACATTCGTCCTGCACATTGCAGGTCAAAATGGAGCTTCTGAGGGGGCAGATCCAACCCTCTGATGCTCTGTTGGGGCTTCTGCAGGCTTCTCCCGGTTTGTTGTATGCCAAAACGGAGCTTCTGAGGGGCGGATCCATCCTTTGGAAGCTCCATTCAGGCCTCCATGGGCCTCCCCAGGCATGTTGCAGGTTGAAATGGATCTGCCCCTTGGAAGCTCCATTTCAGTGTGCACAGGGAGGCCCATGAAGGCCCGAACAGAGCATTGGAGGGGGTATGTGTGGCTGAGAGGCTGGAGAGGAGATAGCTTGCTAGATCTTCACAAAGTAAGTTATCTGGTGCAGCAGGTTGTGTGGGTGAGGGAAGCAATTATGGGGAGCATGAGGTATTTTAGTGGGTTGAGTAGGCCTTGGGTGCTCTTTAGGCAGGTGGTCTGTTCCATCTCTAGGTCCCACATAGCCTTCCCAACCCTGAAATACCTCATGTGCACTTAACAAGACTCACATTCGATTAGCAAATGTGTGAGCGAAAGGGAGTGATCCCATTCAAGGTATGAGATTCACTCCTATGAATCCTCAGGTTACAAATGGAATGGGCAGGCTCGATTTCATTCATAACTTGAGGACTACTTGTATTTTGGAATTGGGCAATGCCTAAAATAAATTATTTAAATTAATTGAATTTAATTAAATGTTCTTTCCAGCATGGACACAAGGAGACCCTCGCAAGGTGATTTATCCAACAGATAGTCGTGGTCAATTCTGTGGGCAAAAGGGCACATCCAATGAGTAAGTATCAAGGAGAAATTCTCTAGTTTTCTGCAAGAGATTGGTGAATCTAAAAGGCTTCTGGTAGTTTTTGAGGATCTCATCTTTTGAAGGTCTTATTACTCTAAGTTTAAAACAGTAAAATAATTGAGCGTTGATGTTATCCCTTTCTGATATGTGACTGGGTGGCCAGGTTCCAGACAAGTTGGAATAGGATGATTTGAACAAACATGGCACTAAACACATCCAACCAAACAAAGGCTAAAATACATTTGAAGCCCCCACTTAATGGTGGTTATATTTCAGCACTTCCATTGTAATTTTGCATTTGACATCTTGGGGGCAGGTGAATGTTTTATGAAGATTTCATGATAGCATATTACAATCATTTTGTAAAACAGTTTTCCAAATTGTGCACAGTCCTCCCGAGACTAAGAGATAACTATCTTAACAATCTAATAATCTCTTTGCGAAGCCAGAAAAATGTCAGTGGTGGGAATCAAATTTTGTTAAAACTGGTTCTGTGGGCGTGACTTGGTGGGGGGGGGGGTCATTTGAGTGGGCATGGCCAATTTGGCATCACCTTGCTGTGAGTGACATTGAGTTGGCCACGTCCACTCAATCACATGATCCCCACCAAGCCACACCCACCAAGCCATGCCCACATAACCGACAGAAAAGTTCACCCAAGTCTTCTAGCATTCAACCTGGCTGCTTCTCTCCTCCTTCTCAGCCTATATACACAGAGCAAACAGGCACACATCTCATGGTGCCAGAAGGGACTCGCCCACACATTATCTCCTCGCAGAAGGTCCCAGCGCCATGAGATGTGTGCACACACTGTGTGTACATCTGAGAAGGAGGACAAGACTTGGCTGAACTTTTCTGCCTCCCTTCACAGCGGAGCTGCTCAGAAGGCAGCTCCTGTGACCTGTCCTGACTCTCCTGGCCAGGTCTGGTCATAAGGGCACCGGCAAGCAATGGGATGTGCACACGCAGCTGGCGCAAAGAACAGGCTGGTGACCAGAGTTGATATTCAGCCAGTTCACACCGGATCAGGTGAACCAGTAGCAAGAATTTGGCGTGGGTCACCAAACCGGTAGGAACTTCTGGACGCCCCCAACCCGGTCGCCCGGTTGCTGCTCACTTGGCCCTTCTGGATGCTCGATGCAAGGTGCTCGCTCATCTCTTCCGGCTGCTCGATGCTCGCCCTGCCCACCCCCGCCCTATATATGTTGCCTTCACCACATGGCCCAGCTAATTACCCCACCAGTTGCCTTGTTGATGCCTGGTCAGCTCAGCTCACCAAAGGTAAGCAATGCATGCCACCCACTGACTCTTCGCCTTGGGTCGGGAGCCGGGGTCTCAGAGACACACACTATTCCCTGAGGCACTGGAACTGCCAGCTGCCTCGGCTGGGTCGGGGAATGTGTATTCCCCAGCTCCAGCCTTGCCCCAGAGCCGCCACCTGCTTGCCACCTGCTTTCCCTTAAGCGCGATGTTTTGCCCATTTCCCCCTCCTTCAGAGGCCCTGGCCTGGCCCTTAATCTCCTTTCTCCCCTACATAATCTGTGGTCACAACCTTATCTTCCTCCAGTGGCTGGCTGCCAAGGAAGGCAAGCCAGGGCTGAGAGCTGCCGGGCTTCCCGTCAGCCCGCATCTCATCCCCTTCACCACGGCAGAAAGCAAGCGGTGGGGGCGACAGTGATGACAGGACTTCAGGCCTCTGTTTTGGCGCAAGAAGCCTGCAGCCGCCGCCTCTTTTTCAGCACAAGAAGCCTCCAGCTCGGTGGTGGTATTTGACCAGTTCTGCCCAGTTCTGGAGAGCCAGTAGCAGCAATGAGCAGTGGAGACCGAACCGGTTCTCTCCGTTGCTCTGTGTTTGGCCCAGCCACCTGCCTGGGCTCCCATACTCACTTTTATGGCCAGAATTCAAAGTGCAGCTGCTTTGCATGACACAGAATAGCGCTGCGACGACCAGCCTCGCTGCAGAATAGTGCTGCAGTGACCAGCAGGAGGTGAGTTAGAATGCCTCTGCACCTGCGCAAAGTGTGCGTTTGGTGCACGCATGCACACAAAAGTGTGTGGCACACACACAAAGCACACTCACCAAACCAGTGGCAACTTTATTTGAATACCACCATTGCTCCAGCTGCCACCTCTTTGCCTGCTGGAATCGAGCCGGCAGAAGCAGCTGCAGGCTTCTCGCACTGAAAAAGAGGTGGCAGCTGCAGGCTTCTCACGCCAAAAAAGAGGCAGCTGGAGGCTTCTTGCACTGAAAACTACTGACAGCTGGAGGCTTCTTGCAAAAAGTGTCTCCTCCCCACCAATGCGGTCCTTCAGAACGTGAGCGAGGTGGAGGGCAAGCAGGTGGCATGTGGGCAGAGGCCCCAGGGAAGGCCAGAGCCAGGAACTGGCACGTCCCCTGACATGCCAGAGGCAGAGGGTGAGTGGGATATGGGTGGAAGTCTGGCGAGAGCCAGGTCTGAAAGGCAACCAAGCCTCACCATGTCCACCCCGAGGCAGCAGTCTAAGCCAGCCCAGGAGTTGGCACTCATCCGGGGCTTGCAGTGGCAGCAGCAGAGGCATGTAGGTTGGGCTGGGAGTCGACTCGACCAGGGCTTGCGGCGGCCTAGGCTGGCCCAGGAGTCAACTCGATCAGGGCTTGCTTGCAAGCTCACTCAACCAGGGAGATCAGGGCCTCAGCAGAAGGCAGGCAGCAATGGCGGGCGAAGGCAGGCTAGCAATGGTGAGTTAGCAGGCAAGTTAAGGAGTGACTGGGCAGGGTGAGTGGTGGGCAGGCGGGTGGGGCTGAGCGGCGACTGGGCGACTGGGCAGGGGCGAGGCCAGCCAGAGATGATATTTGCTGGTTCTCTGAACTAGTTAAAATTTCAGCTACTTGTTTGCTTGAATTGGTCTGAACCAGCTGAATACCACCTCTGAAAAATGTGCCTTCAATCTGCAACAACTAGACTTCTTGGGTTATCATATTTCCACAAAAGGCTTCCAGGTGGACACCCAGAAAGTCCTAGCTGTCCTAGACTGGCAAATCCCTCACACAGCCAATGCTTCCAATGTATATCCAATTCTTTCCTAGGTTTTGCTCACTTCTACAGGAAATTTATAACAGGCTTTGCTCATAAAGCCAATTGTCTAAGAAAGGAGATAAGTTTGCATCTTGTATTCTGTTCTCTCTCTGCTATAACTCACCTTTTCACCCACCCCCTTGGTACTAAAAGAGATATTAGAAATCAATAAAGAGACCACAGTAGGAAAAAAGAATGCTTCCCACTTATAGCCTAAATTTCAAGGCAGTTTCTTAAAATAGTTGGGTTTTGGGTTTTGGCTTAATTGCATTAAGCTTCTATATCAAAGTTCATACAGAATAATATGAAGATAGGGCTATATTTAGGTCTCTCATTTTGAAGATATACTTCATTTATAGCTTGCTTTTTCATTCATGCAAGCAGACAAGGAGGTTTATGACAATAACGTAAACTACCACACTTGGTAATAATAATACAATTAAAAGAAATACATTATAATTCAAATCTATTAGGAAGATTAGCCCTGGTAAAAGCAAGAAAAATGCTTGATACTGACTTCATTTAGATGTGATATCCAGCCTTTTCCAAAGGATTAGAGGAAGCACCTTCCATATTTTTGAAGCTTTGTATATCATATGGTATCACTTATTAAAGAACGAATAGAATAACAGTTTGTAATATTTTGTTCTTTTTTCAGGCAGAAACCTTACTTGTTCTACTTCAACATCATGAAATGTGCTAGCCCTTTGGTGTTGCTGGAATTTCAGTGTCCTACTACACAGGTGAGGTTTTCTCCGAATTTCATCCTTAATACGTCCTCCAAGGGTGTCAAACTAGAAGAGTGTTGTACCGCTTTGTTTGGAATAGATTCATTAACAGGCAAATACATAGATTTTGATATTGCTGTTTGATTTTTGGAATATGTCTCAGGGATTCACCATCAATCTTGCCTAGGCTAAGAAGCTAAACTGAATTGGACCTGGTTAATACTTAGATGGAAGATCACCAGAGAATAACAAACAGAGTTGTAGACTTTTCTGGTATGAGAAAACATAGTTGCAATATCCTCCAGCCTGTAGGAATAATTGGTGCTTATTGATGGGAAAAGCATGTTTGATTTTGCTTCAAGTAGTTTCATAAGAATTCAGAAGCTGAGATTTGCTGTCACAGAACTTCTTCACCAATAGTTTATCAGACTTTCAGTTTATTAAACTTTTGTTTATTGATTTGTTTATTGACTTATTAGATTGCTTCCAAAAACAAAAATATTATTTCCCTCAATTGTACTCCCTAGGAACAACTTTGTAAAATAGCTTAATCTGAGGTAGTGGGAGAGAGTGTAGAAGGAATAAGGAATGGCTTTGAAAGACAGTAGGAAGATCCAATAATCAGACAAATGCAGCTTGAACCCAATCCAAGAAACAGATTTAACAAAAAGCCTCAGGTAGGCCTGTCCCTAATTCACACAAAGTGAAGGAGGAAAGCATATTCAGATTTGGAAGATACCGTGTTTCTCCAGCAATACGGCCTCCACCAATAGGAAGCCCCAGCATGATTTATTGGCATAAAATCAAATTAAGCCCCTCCCCCCAAATTAAGGCCTATATTAAAACATGCAAAATGGGGGGGAAATGGCGGAGGGGGCTTGCTGTTAGGAAGTACTTTTGTTGCACACCCGGATATGGTGCTGCCTGCGTTGACCCTGATACAAAGTGCCCCACCAATGCAGAGGTCAACATCCAAGCCGCCCTAAGATGCAGGGGGCGGGAAATTAAGTCACGTGCGAAATGGAGGGGGAATGGTGGGGGGGTTGCCGTTAGGAAGTACTTTGTTGCATGCCCGGATATGGTGCTGCCTGCGTTGGTGGGGCACTTCACACCGTTGCTTTCCCTTCTCCCTTGCTGCCGCGGCATTAGAGCAACGCCGCAGCATTTGGCGAGCCATGTGTGGCCAGTCAGGGCTCCTCCCTGCAACCAGAGCCCTGAGGAGACATTTGGCTTCAGGCACTCCTGTCGCCGCCTTCCCTTTGCCTTCGAAGGTAAAGCGAATTATTTTAAAAACCTCCACTCATCCCACCAGGGCCGCGCCGGAGCCGTGCGAGCTGGGCAGAGCCAGGAAACACCTGCGGCTCACTTTTCCTCTATCTAGTTCTCTATCTATAGTTCTCCCTCTATCATTACCTTTGCCGTTTGCTTGTGATATATAGCTTCTATTGCTTGAATAAATTTTTTAGCAAAGCCCATCTGTTCCAGCTGTAATAACATGAATCGCCAATTCACATTATCAAGTTTGATATAATTATTCTCTTTTAGTGTACTGCATCTTGCTGTCAAATGTATCCCCAAGTACTTGATCTTATTCGTGACCTGAATTTTCAATAATCTGCCAGTTCTTCCTTTTGTCTTGATAGCATATTTTTTGTCAAGATCTTTGTCTTATCTTAATTTATTTCAAACCAGCCACCTTTCCATATGTCTCTATCTTCTCTATCAATTTTGATGCAGTTTCTAAAGGGTCTTCTAAGATAAAAACCAGATCATCCGCAAATGCTTGCAGCTTAAATTCTTCCTTTTTGATTTTCATTCCTTTTATATTCTTTTCATCTCTAATATTTCTGTTTAACACTTCCAAAGTTAACACAAACAACAGAGGTGATAGTGGGCACCCTTGTCTTGTTCCTTTTCTTATATTAATAGAGTCTGTCAGCTCTCCCTCTATCATTACCTTTGCCGTTTGCTTATAGTATATAGCTTCTATTGCTTAGATGAATTTTCTAGCAAAACCCATCTGTTCCAACAGTAATAACATGAATCGCCAATTCACATTGTCAAATGCCTTCTCTGCACCTAGAAATATCAGAGCCATTTGTTTTTCAGGATTTGCCTCGTAGTACTCCAAGGTGTCCAAGATTACTTTCATATTGTCTTTAATTTGTCTCTTTGGCAAAAATCCATTTTGATCAGGATGGATAAAATTATTTAAATATTTTTTAAGTCTTTCTGCCAATATTGAAGCAAAGATTTTGTAATCTGCATTTAGTAAAGAAATGGGTCTATAGTTCTTAATTTGTAATGGGTCAGCCTCCTCTTTAGGAATAAGTGTAATATAGGCTTCTGACCATGATTTAGGTATCTTCTTCTTTAACATAACTTCATTCATAACTTCTAGCAATGAAAGATTCAACGATTCTTGTAATGTTTTATAAAATTCTGCCAGAAGTCCATCTGGGCCTGGTGCCTTTCCATTATTTTGCTTCTTAAGTGCTTCAGTTAACTCCATCATTGTTATGTTGCTTTTTAACATTTTTTCAATCTCTTTAGGTATCTGAGGTAAATTAGCATTCTGTAAGTATTGCTTAACTCTCTCTTCACAAATATTCTCTTGCATATATAATTTCCCATAGAAGTCTCGAATGATTTCCTTCTTCTCTTTGCTACCATGGAAAATTTGGCCTTGGTCATCTATTAATTGGAATATTCTCCCTCGAGCCGCTCGGAGCATCCAGAGAGTGGGAGGTGCTTCTGAGTCCTCTTCTCACAGGCTGAGCTTCAATTGAAGAATGCTCCGCCCCCTCACGTGGCTCCATGCAGCGTTCCCCAGTTTTTGCTCAGCCTCTGAGAAAGCAGGCTGTTTTGCAGAAGGTTCCTTGGCTGATCCAGGCTTTTCTCTCTCTCCTCATTTCATTTTTCCGACAGAAATCAGGTTTGCTTGCTTCCTAGCCCCTGCGCAAACAGCAGTGACCCAGGGGGAGGTTTTTCCCTCGCCCCTAGGGGCTTGACAGGCGGGATCGCAGTGCTTCGGTACCCCCCCCCACTGCCAGTTTCAGTCTCTGCCGCCGTGCCGCCTCAGCGGCTCGTTAAATCCTCGCCTGAGGGTAACGCTGGTTTTCCCCCCACCAGAATGCCGACGTTAAGGGAAGGGCTAAATTCCCCCTTATAGCCCTCTAGGCACGCTGAGCTAGCCGGAGGAGCCCTCCCTTCCGTCCCGAGAGGCCCCGACGATAGCTCAGCTCGCGGCCGCCATCTTGGTGCCGCCTCGTGGTCGGGCCCCTTTTTTGCCTTTATTCTTGCTTGCTGCGGTTGACTCTGCTCCCTTCTGACCCCCTGGGTCTCGAGCTCTTTTTAGGGTGCCATTCTGACCAACCTGGTCTGGCACATTGTTGGCTTCCCGCAGCTCCCTCGGGGCGAAGTTTAGCAGTCCCCACCCCCTTCAGTCTTCATCTGGAGGTCTACTGCTAGGCCTCTCTGTTCCAGGCCTCAGGCGTTCGTTTGGCAAATTCGGTCATTACTTTAGCCAACTTTTGTTTCTGGCTTGCACAGTGGTACAGTCCATTTAATTACCCTTATTATAAAAAAAAAACAGGAAAGAAGAAAGAATCTTGTGATTAATCTTCAATCTTATCTTCTAGCAGATAAACAAGATTTTTATATATATAAAAAATATATATATGCATATATATATATATATAGATTATTATTATTATTATTATTATTATTATTATTATTATTATTATTATTATTATTATTATTTCATATATATTATACCTTTTTGTATATTTATATCCTTTGACTGTCTTCAAGTAATTCCCTGGCTTCATAGTTCCTGCTAAATTCCAAAAGGGGGTGCGGGCCAGCTCGGAGATCACCCGGCCTTGGTCGTAGGCCGAACTCTAGGCGAGCCAACCGCCTCTAGTGAACCTTATACATTTTCATTTATTAAAATGGCAGATGACAATTCCTCTAAACGCCCTTCTTTGAAGGCTAAATCAAAGTCTTACCACTTGCGCAGGCAGGCTACGGAACCTTCCAAGGCCTCTCAGCGAGACACCTTAAGGTGCCATAAGGCCTTGGAAAAGGAGTTTGATAGGCGTTCCAGGCAGTCACCACAGGTGCCTCCAGCCTTCACTTCTACTCAACTCCCCCCTCTAGACCTTTCTTCCCAATCCAGGCGCAGCTCCCCTCAGGGTCATCAGGCCCCGGGACCACTGACCAGACAGACTCCTGAAGCCACCTTCACGCCTACGGCCGCTGGTCTGCACCAAGACCTCCCTCCATGATGGAGGTTCCAGCTCACATCAAAGCTTGGATGGAACTGGCTATCCGCCAAGGTATTGCGGAGGGGCTGCAACAGATGTCCAGACCCGGCTCCTCCCCAAGAGCCCCCGGACATGAGTCTCTGTCCATCAGATCCCTTCCAAGATTGGATTCTCCTATTGGTCAGGTACTCTTACAGAGGGATAGCCCTCTTCTGGAAAGGGACCAGGAGGAGGAGGAAGGGGCCCTTGACTATCCCAGGGAAGAGGAAGAAGAATCCCAGATGGGATCTTCCCGCTACAGCGACCCCCTCCTAGAGGGAGAACTGACCGAGGGGGAGATGTCGGAGGATGAGGGGCTTTCCCCTGACCAACCCCCACTCATGGGTCTGTTCAAGCCTCACATGTTTAAATCCCTTCTGTTTAAAGCCAAAAATGTTTCTGGCCTACTTCCTCAGTCTCCCTCTGCCCCCCCCTCCACTTCGGAGGCCCCAGAGGACTCCATAGCAGCCCGTGGTGGAGGCCGAGGTCATTCCAGCCCCACCCATTTTCTCGGACCTTGTGGTGAAGCAGCTGGCTTCCACCGGGACCCCCCCGGCGCCTTCCAGTCAGGACAAGAGATTCTTCAATTTCGACCCGGACTTTGCTAACCTACTGGACATCCCCGAGGTAGATCAGCCCATTGTGGCCTTAGCGTCCTCCTCCTCCCCCAGTGAGGCCCTGGAGGCGCTGAAGCCCGAGGACAAATGA